GATGCAGGGACCGAGACAAACACACTGGGTACCAAAGACGACCATCGCTGTTCATAAACCCTTCACAGGGGATAAGAGGGGCGAAGACCTCAACACGTATCACAGGGTCCACAACCCAGTGGGATGCAGGGACCGAGACAAACACACTGGGTACCAAAGACGGCCATCGTTGTTCATAAACCCTTCACAGGGGATGAGAGGGGCGAAGACCTCGACACGTGGTTGAGGGCAGTGCCTAGCTATGTCAAGTGTAAGCTTACCTTGCCGCACAAGGAAGTGCTTGTGGCTGCATCCTATCTAGAGGGTAGTGCAGCACGATGAAACTTGCTCTCGACGCCAACGTGTACAACAATGCTGTGCACAGTGCGGCAAGAGCAGCACGGTAGTGCTACGGACTTTTAAACCTAGACTGCCTCTAGACTTCCTGCTACCTGAGAATCAGCCGACAGCTGCACCTGGAACATTAGAATTTGCATATCGATATGAGCAATTGATGCAGCAAGCGGTAGAACAAATGCACAAAGCACAGGTGGCGATGAAAGAGTCTGAGAACAAGCACCGCCGCCCATCTACATTTCAGGTAGGGGATAGAGTCTGGGTCAAGTCCTCAGAACTGGGACAGGAGCACGTGATATCCCGCAAGCTCATGCCACAGTACTTTGGACCTTGGGAGGTTCTTGATATTGTCGAAGAGGATCCGCATGGGCCATCATATGTAATTCGGATCCCTGGTCATCTTTGCACTTACCCTGTCTTCCACGCCTCTAAGCTTGAACCATTCAAGGAAACTGATTAGTTTCCCTCACGACGCTCGATGCTGCCCCCAACCATGGATGGAGAGGTCGACATCCAGTAATCCGTTTGAACGTTTAAATACATTCTACTACGATATCGTGGACCATAGAGAAATGCCAGTTCCAAGACCGACGTTGTGACGGGCGTGAGGCTGAGGGTGAGCCGAGGGAGAGGAGAGAGACAGGGAGAGAGTGAGAGCACACACACACACTCACTCACTCGACACGAYTGACTCGAACTGAGGGTCGGGCGCAGACACAGTGGCAAGGCACAAAGTCGAACTCTTGGATTCCGAATGCCGAAACAGCAAGTCACACTAAGTACGAGTACAGCAGCAAAAAACTGGTACGAGACTGGTCCCCGTACCGTACGGGGAGCCGGTATAAGTATCGGTGACACGTACGGTACCAGGGGCATTTATACAAAGGCCCCGAGGACAGAAGGGAAAAATGCGGTATTTGAAAGTGGCGCCCGAATTGCAGCATGGCGCCAGTTGTCCAAAATCCTACGGTACCAAAGGAGGGGTTTGGAAAAAGGGTGCCAAGCCGAAAACGGGATGCAACCGAAACAGCAAAAAGATAGACCAGGGATCGATCCCTAGCGGAGTCCGTAACACTATCCCCTCCCTCTAGAAGGCAACGTCCCGGCTGCCAAAAATCATGAAGCAATGCTGAAATCTGTGAAGGACGGGACGGGGCCGATCACTGGTTAACAAGTCGAAAGGGAAGAGGGGTATAATGTGGGTGGCATGGGCTGGGAGAGTAAGAGGGGACAAGGTTTGGTACTGGGGAACAGAGCTGTCCTACTGATGAACTAGGGGGGGTTGCAGGGAATAGGGTAGTCCTACAAATGAACTAGAGGGACGACAAGGAGCAGGGTAGTCCTACTGATGAACTAAGGGGACTGCATGGTTTGCTATAGGTTAAGGGGGAACAAAGTTCAGGGAACAGGGGATTTCTATTGATGTTCTACTTGGTAAGGGAAACAATGGTCAGGGGAAGAGGGGATGTTTATCGATGTTCTAGTGGGTACGGGAAACAATGGTTAGGGAAACAGGGATCTGCTAATGATGTTCTACAGGGTTGTCGAAGTCAGGAAAAATAAAAATGAAAATGTTTGTTCAGGATGCAAGGGCTGGTGTGTTCGAAGGAGTCGGAAGCAGAATCTCATGTAGGAACAAGTTGTCCAAGTGTGTTGAAAGGGGGTCTGCAGCGGTCTTGATCAGGTCTTTGGAGTAGGTGGCAGAAGCAGTCTTCAGCGGCTGCAACAGGTAGAAGTCCAAGAAGCGTAGTAGTAGTTCAAGTGTCAAAGTCCAAGTGTTAGGGTGCGTACGGTACACGAACTGCAACGAGGTCTGATCTGGAAGCAAGGAAGTCGCAAACTGATGCAAAGATCCATGTCACAAGTTGCTGCTCCAGTAAGTCCGCGAGTCGGGATGCCGACCGATGAAACAGCATGGTGGCCAAACCAGCTGCATAATCTCCATGAACAGCGAGGGAGCAGGCCATCGTCCTCGTGCGCTTGCCATTAGATCCTTTATCGCCGGCGTCACGCAGGTTCACAAGCATGGGACAAGAGAGACAAGGTAGTGGAGAGGACAGATGGGACAAGGCTAGGCGAGGGCAAGGGCAGATCAGACATCAGGAATGAAGGTCAAGGGGAGGGTGGACTGGGTTCAAAGGTGTGTGTAGAGAGGGGCTGCGAGGTTGTAGCAGGGTTTATACAGGGGTTTAGGGTTGGATTGCGAGAGACAGGGGGACAGTGTCCAGGTGGAGGGAGGCCCGACTGTCACGGTGGAGGAAGAAGTGGGAGTAGAAGGGCCTGGTCCTGTGGAGCGAGGGGCCTATCGAGTCAAGTGGCTAGCGTTGGGGCAGTTGGTCTGTTGATAACCTAACTGGCGGCAGCAAAAACACCCGTTGTGTTCCTGGAGGTATATGCGTTCTGCGGGTGTGAGTTTCTGAAGGCGGCGGGGTGGAGAGGAAAAAGGCGAACGAGAGGCACGATTCTGGCGTTCCATCCGTATAAGGTGGGCGGTCTGGAGGTCCTCAATGGTGAATTGGGAGGGGTCGAGAGAGGCAGTGTCGAAGTCGTCATTGGAGGTGGGTTGAGTCGTGTCGTTATGGAAAAGGAGCGGGTGCGAACTGGTGATGGGGGTGGAGGAGTCGATCGTGGTGAAGCATGCGAGAGAGGAGGTCAGCAAGGGGCATGTCGGGTTCGTGGGCGATGGCAGTTGCAAGATCTTTGTGGCATACTCGCTTGATGCGGGAGATGAACGCAAAGTCGGGAATGACGGTGGTGGGGAGGTGATGGTGGAGGGAGCGGATGTGTTGGACGAAACGGTTTGTGGGACCGGTCTGGCGGAGGTGGCAGATTGTTCGAGGTAGTCATCAATGGTTTTCTGGGGAAGGAAGGTGGCAATGAGAAGTTTGGCCCATTGGAGGAAGGAGTGACGTGGTCCTCCAGAGGCTCGACGGTTGCTGACTTCAGCCATCCACCATTTGGCAACATTGTCGAGGAGGCGGGAGGTGGCAATGGGGAGCCGATGGGCAAGGGGCATGTGGTGGAGGTGAAAAGAGTTCTGGAGCTGGGTTAGGAAGAGGAAAACGTCCTGGTGGGGGAGGCCGGAGAAGGACATGATTTCGCCAGATCGGAAGGAGCGGGGGATTTCCCCGTTGCAGGAAACGATCTGGGCGAGGGTGTTGAAGCTGAGGTTATCGGGGGTGGTGTCGTAGCAGGTGTAGTCGAGTTGGTTGTTGTCCTCAAGGAGGTAGTTGGTGGGTGGTTGTGGCATTGCGGGGTAAACCCCGGAGGTGACTTGGGAATAGGTGGGACGGATGGTGGGGATGGTGGAGGTGGTCATGATGGGTTGGGAGAGGGTTTGGGAGTGCGGGGGGGGAAGAGGGGTGACGTGGATGGGCGAGGAATGAGGCGGTGTGCTGGATGCGCCGGATGAGGGAGGAGGTGGAGGGAACGGAACGATGGTGGAGGTTGAAGGGTTGGTGGATGTGGTGGTAGAGGCGGTAGGAGTGGAGGAGGTCGATGGGGGGGTGTTGATGGAGGCGGCTGTGGAGGAGGGAGTGGTTTGCACTGTGGAGGAGTGAGTGGTTTGCGTTGTGGAGGAGGGAGTGGTTTGCGCTGTGGAGGAGGGAGTGGTTGTGCTGTGGAGGAGGGAGTGGTTTGCGCTGTGGAGGAGGGAGGTGCAGCCGTGGTGACGACCGTGACGGAGGGGATGGTCCCTTCGAGCGTGGTGACACGGTCGCATATGGACGACATGTTGGCCTTTATGTCGTCGAGAGAGGCGGTGACGAAGGTTTGGAAGGTGTTGAGTGCGTGGAGGATGGTGGAGAGGTCGGGGGTGGCGGTGTTTGCTGGTGGTTGTTCGCATGCGGGGTTGCGGGCGATGCTATTGACCGAGTCGGTGCGGATGTCAGACATATTGATGGAGGATGCGGTCATGTCGGGGGAAGAGGGGGTGGAGGACGCTGCCGGAACGGATGTGGAGGATACCGCAGCAGCGGTGGTGGCGGCAGCAGCGGCGGGGGCGGCGGCGCGTTGGGAGTTCTTGGTTTGGCGTGGTGGCATGTGGGGATGGGGGGGACAATTTCTATTTACAAGAATGGAGCGTAAATTAATTTGAATTTATTCGAAACTGATTTGCGAGTGTATTTTTCAAGAAAACACGAAAGCAAAATTTTCAGGAATTTCCAAATGACGAAAAAGAATAATTCATTTTGAGAAAAATAAATTTCGACGAAATYTATTTGGATTTACGTTCGGGGTAAAATTTTATAATTTCGAAAAGGGGTGATTAATTCCGAGTAAAAGAGATTAATTCAGTACTGAATTAATCGAGTTTAGTCGAAATTAAGGAGTTCATAGAAAAAAAAAAGGAAGTACTTCTGAATAAAAAAAGAGAATTGCGAAAAGAAAAAAAAGAAATTTAAATTTGAAGAAAAATGGCAAAAAGAA